GTAATCCAAGATAAATAGTCTCAGCACAACTAATCCCATCATAACTCATCTTCAAACCAAACTACCCGTTAGTGTAGTGATAATTTCAGGATTCTCCTTTGACGCAGCTTCCCATTTCAACTCTAAATTCGGGTTGAAGTTCTCCTTTGAATCATTTACTTTCTCAGTAGAGAAATTATGATTTTTTGTTATAGGTGAATCCTCTACAATCTCTTTAACTGGAGGTGATTTCGATTCAGTGTCTTTAACTCTCTTTTCTGCAGGCATTGAGGGGGTAGTACATTGCTGAGAGAGTTCTCTAGAATTTCCGCAGAGTTTGAATATATTTTGAATTAGCTCTTTTCTGGAAGGGGCTGTGTTGTCACTAGAAAGATCATCGGAACGATCTTCTACTGTACTTACATTGCCAGAACATATTGTCTTTTCCTCAATAACCTCTTTTTGCACCTCCTCGACATAAGGATTCTCTTTATCCCCTTCACTGTCGTTACCTTCTTCTTCCTCCTCGAACACGGTGCTCAAGAATGATTTGTTGGTGAAATGTTGCAATAAGATAGAAGGATCTTCAATTTCTCTTGGATTGGATATGCTAGGATAGCCCAAAATTGCCTGAATTGTGTTACTTTCTGCTTTCTTTCCACAGTCCATATCAATAGATCTGTCCAAATCCATAGATTTCACCATTCCCGCGTCTTCAGAGTACATCTCCAGTAGCCGTTTCCCAAAGCTGTTTTCCTCCACTTCTGTTGATCTGCTGCCAACCCTTGAATGCCAAAGCTCGGACTCAATCTCCTCCAACCGCCTTCTAAGCATTTCAAACTCTTGTTGCTGTTGGAACATTCTTTCTTCCATTTTCCTCCTTTCCGTCTCTACGAATTCATTTGCCGTTTTCTGACATTGTTGGATCTTATATTCAAATTCATGTTGCAACATTTGAGTTCGCTCGTTTACTTTAACAATGATATCCTCCTCGGTTGTCTCCACCCCTCCTTGTGCTACTACTAGTTCAAGTTTAGACCTTAATGTAGCAATTTCTTCTTCTTTCTTTATAAGCTTTCTCTTAGCTTCATTACACTCTTTCTCTTTGAGCTTGTTCTCAATCTGAAGCTTGTAGATAAACTGATCCATAGCTGCAATTCTCGACCCCAAAATAACCGCTGATGAAGAATCTTCTGCACCTTTCTCCTTCAACGGCATATGAGGGCCACGGACAATGCATTTTGCTTTAGCACCATACTCTAGAGTAGAGATAGTTTTATGGAGCTCTTTAGGATCCGGGCTGGCACACAGTATCATGAGAATTTTGGACTTGTCATCCTCAAAGGAATCCTACACGAAATAGTTGAATCAATTTCTTACAACCACTAGTATTATTCCCATACTGTCTGTGGCTATGTTGCTCGGGTCCTTAAAAAATGAGGCTGGGTGCGTGTAGGATCCTCCAAATGTTATTCATTTATGGACGATCCAATACAGGTGCGGCAACATTTTTGGAGGATCCGAGCAACATAGATCTGTGATATGCACAAGACATACCTGTAAGAGCATAGTTAACTTGCTGTCTCGGAAAGGCACGTGGGAATCACCGTTAGCAATGGACTCAACCACCCTTTTCAGTGCACTGTTTCCCTGATTGATCTTTGCAGTCTGCATAATTTGATTGTCAGATACTAGTAGGAGATAAATGCATCAGGAGTTATTCATACATTTCAAATTACTGTTCAGAGGAAATCCGATAACAAACTTCAAAGAAGTGAGGTAAGTAAAAATGTGAAACTTTACCTGCATTTTTGCATCCAGACCAGTTTGACCAGCTTGTTCTATATTCTCAGAACCAGCCATGTCGACAAGCATTAACCGCCCTCCAACCGTTGGAACATCAATAATCATCTGCAACAACATTTAGCTTCCTTTATAAAAGATGAAGACAGATATCCTTGCTGAAAACAGAAAATAAATGAACTTCTTTCCATTTAAACATTGTTTAACGTATATTCAGAATTGATACCATGCAGTGGCTCCGAGAGCTCCGCTCATTGCACAAAGTGCTTTTCACTGTTCTTCTCTTCTCCACTTTCTGGATCTCCTTTGATATCTTTGTAGCCTCAGTACCGGAAATAAAAGTTGCATTTTTTGCCTTTTTACCGATAACTTCAAGTCTCACCTGCAAAGGTAAAACACAGGGCCAGCATTATACAGAGAAATACATAGTACGTAGTACTAGCTTTCTCATTTTCGAATTTGACATTCTTAGCCTAAGCCATCTCCAGCCCAATTTTAGCATATCCTAAATTCTGACTTGTGTAGTTGTGTTAGGCTTACAGATCAATAATGACAAGATCAATGGTGCTATGGAAAAAATATGTACCAAGGAATTAGGCAAAGTACTATAAAACATTGTCAGTTCAAGAATTAAGTGAAGTTCTATAAATCATTAGCATTCAGTACTTAATCACAACATCGTCGATTGAAAGTCAAGTATCGATATGTGTATAACAAATAATGAGGTCAAAATGCAAAGTCAATTCATTTGAGGAGAGATATTAGATATACATCATAAATGAGAAAATGTTGCGAAAATATAAAAAGAGTTGAAATGTGTATAGATGCCAAATGAGAATCACTTTTAACAGAGAAAACATTGATTCAGGCTGCTCATTTTCCAAGTATACCAATCAAGTAGTCCGTCTATTCCGCCACTTGAGAGAAACTAAATCATTTTCTAGAATGTGCTCAATACAATAACAACAACAACAACAACGTCAATACTCACTTACCATGTTTTCCCGTTTAAGATCGACTCATGTCTAAACGTGCTCTCTATGGATAGATACCAAGAAGTCTATTCCATCAATTGAGAGAAACTAGAGCATTTTCTTAAACGTGCTGAATACAATAACAACAATGTCTCTATCCCAAACAAGTTGGCAGCTATATGAATCCTCACTAACCATGTTTCCCCATTTAAGCTCAACTCATGTCTAAACATGCTCAATATGGATAAACATCAAGTTTACCAAGTAGTTAACATCAATTAAGAGAAATTAGAGCCTTTTCCTAAACATGCTCAATACTACAACAACAACAACAACAACAAATACTAGAAGTGTAAAATGAACTATATTTCAAAAGATCAATGCATCAATCAGGCAAAAAGTGTAAAAAAATCAAATTTTTACCTTAGAAGAATTCCCTTTAGACCATCCAAAACCAAACCCTCCACCATTATTTGTTGACAACAAATCATATAATTCCTCATTATATATCTCCAAAACAGTAACTTGCACAAATGTCCCAACACTTATTTTCTCAGTATTCTCATCATTTTCTTCAATCCCATCACCTAATATATCCCTTAAGGACCTATACACAATCCCAGGCTGCTTAGAACTCCCAAACATGTTGTAACTTTTGCCAGCCCCCGTCGGTCCATACATCATAACAGTACATTTATCTCCCAATTTCACTCCATTAATCCTCGACTGCACAAACTTCTTGTAAAACTCATCAATATCCTCCTCTTCAGACAATGACACACCATCAAAGCTAAAATCCCTATATCCTCCATCAGTTTTCACTCTTAACGTCTCGCGATCAGGATTCACCTGTAACGACGATAAAGGCTTCTCTTTCCTATCCGGGTAATCACGAATTCTTCCTATAACTTCAATAGGATGCTCTGCTGCTGCTGCTGCAACAGGGGCTACAGAATTCGGGTTCGGGGATGGTTTTGCTGTGGTGAAATTCAATCTGTGTTTTGCTTGTGGGGTTCTTGAATTGGGTATCTGGGTAAGATTTAATTTTGAAAATGGAGTTGGGGTTCTTTGGTTTTTCGGTGTCGGCGCCATTGGAGACCAAAACTGCTTAAATTCAAGAAACCCCAAATCAAGATTCAATCTTTTGCTCTTCTCAGAACTGGAAACAGTTAATTTTGCAGAAAATTTCAAGATTGAGGATTGGGAATTGAGAATTTGTCTGAGCTAAGAAAATGGAATAGGGCGGAAAGTGAAAGAACACAAAAAGTTCGTTTTTTTTTTTTTTTAATGTTTTTGAAGTGTTTAACGTTAGATTGGTAACGGCTAGTTTGTGAAAACTCTTTGTGATGTTAATAGCTGGAAAGCGTCGATCCATTAAAGTGGGCCAAAGGCTGATGTTAAATTTACCTATGAACTTGACGTAAATTATTTATTTCGTCTTTAAACTAACTAATTGAACCTATATACACGTCGATCTGTCTCATAACATAGCAAGTGGTCTCAAACTTTTGTAGAAGCATGACGTCTTGATAAAAAGACGAGAGAAATGTTAAAAATACCCCTAAAAATATACCTGAATAATTTTAAAAAACTTAATAATTCAGGTATTCTTTTTACTATTAGCTCAAAAAAAAGATCTTGACTTTGATATACTCTTTCGGATTTAATTTATATGTCTTACTTTTATTTTTAAATTTGTTTTGAAAAGAGTATTTCCAAAATTCATTGAATTATTTGGAACTTTCTTATAAAAATCGCATGTCATGTTTAAACCACAATATTTAATGGCACTTAATAGCTTATACAAGTATATATATATATTGTCAAAGTAGTTATCTCTCTTGAGTGATTTAGGAAAAAAAGATCAAAAGCATTATACAGTTTTCTCAAGATACTCATTTACAAACCTTTTTATAGTCTAGAAGGCTTTACTTTACAATCCTTTAAATAAAAAAACAACAACTTTCATAGCATATATACTTAGAAATTTTTTAGTTCAAAGTTACAAACTTTTTATAGTCTAGAAGGCTTTACTTTACATCCTTCAAATAAAAATAAAACTTTAATTAATAGCATATATACTTGGAAAATTTTACTTCTTCTTGATTTTTCTGTACAAGTGAAACCTCTCTTTTTCCGTCTTTTAGGCTTATGTCGCTCTGACTCTTCAAACATACCGTTTGGTGTGTGATTTTTGAAGGATCTGACACAGGTATGACAACAAAGGGTCCGAGTGACATAGCTTTTTTTTAGACCAAATTTTTTTCAACCCCTCCTCTTTGCTAAGTGGAATGTTTTCTTCAAGAAATTATTAGCAATTTTATCATTTCTATGACAAAGTACCCTCAAGATTGTGTTAGCATCTGATCTATTCCATTTTCCTGTTGTTGGTGGCATAGGCAATTTTTGTCCATTTCCCAAAACAACTCCAACTCCACTTGCTTCACAAGCCAAATTGCTAAAATCTTCAACCAATTGTTCTGTTGTTTGTCCCATTAAAGACACTATCTCTTCAACTATTGTAGCTTCTTTTTCCACAACATCTTCTAGTATCAAACCTTCACCACAAGTACAAAATACCCTCTTTAAACTTTCAAAATCTTCCTCAATCATTTGATGATCCATCCTCAAGAAGTTTCTACGCGGTCCACCGGCTAGTAAAACCATAAGGTATGCCTCGAAAGACGCCCTCATGACTTCTTTAAGCGCTAATGGTTGAGCTCGGTCAGTGAGGATAGCACACAAAAGAGTTAGGTTTTGTTTGAGTATCCTTAGAGCTGGTCGGATACGTGCATTCTCTACGTCCCCTACGTATAGGCTTGCGTAGAAGACGGAGTTGGAATCAAAGAACATGAGACGATAAGCAGCAACTTCTGATACGAGTTGGACGGATGCCTGGATGGATGAACGTGTTTGATCAAAGAAGGAACAGCATGCTAGCTGTCTGTTCTTGTTGTAACGGCTTCCTGGTGAAGCGATGACTCTTGAGGAGAGCGATAGAGTCTTGTCGAGGGAATTGAGCTGTTGAAGGAGGTAATGCAAGGTGTTAAGCCTTACATAAAGGCGTTGAGTTCCTCGGCTTGTTGAAGGACGGGGATTGTTATCTTCGTCTGTCAAATGCTGGTTTGGATCGTTTGATCCGACACTACAGGCAGCTTTCTTCCACAGCTTCACAAATTTTGAGTCTTGGCCACATCTTGTTAAAGGAGAAAGTGCAGGCATGTAGTTCTGTTTAGCCCCTGCAGAGAGATTCTGACTATCAAAAAATGACTCGAGCATCAAAATACTTGAACGAATAAGGTTTGTTGAACTTGTTCTTACCACATGACGCAACGAAGATAACATAATCTTTGAATAAGTTCTCGATGCCATCAGCGATATCATTAACCAAATTCTCAGTGATGATTGTAGGAATTTCGAAGAAATTGTCCACTGCTTCCTTGGAATGTCTCACTAGATCAATCGCTGATTGTGCATATGGCTCACTTTTGGATTTTGGATTCCATGTCTGCATAACAAAATATTTTGCATTAAAACAGTATAGTTGTCTCCGTGTGACATGTGTTCAAGTTGTGGAATCAGCCACTCATGCTTGCATCACCGTAAGCTGACATTCTTTTTTTAGACTGTCCGTATAACTTCAAAAGAATCATTCTTTATGAATCTAAGTACCATTCAAACAAAGGGCGCATTGCCTCTTTAAGTGAAGAAGCCCCCTTGGGTACATCCCTTCCCCCGAACCTGTGTGAACGGGGATGCTTTATGCACTGGGCTGCCCTATTGTTAATTACTTTTAGTATGACTATAGAAGCCCCTATTAATAAATAGTAAGAGTAACAAAATGACTTACTTCAGAATCTTTTGATCTCACAAGAACATCTTTCCCTTTCTTCAAACTATCTTGGATCCATTTCCTCAATAAATTAATTTTGATTGAGTCAACTTCATAAGGAATCATCTCCCTTACCATCAGTTTGCCTCCGTCCTCGGAATCTACAGAATCTTCCACCACCATTTGGACTAAAACCTTTTCGAGTTTCCCAGCCCTCTGCAACACTAACGCTGTCTCGCTCGTGAGGAATGTTGTACCTGCAAGGTATTGCCTTAACAAAGTTCCATAACAAGTATGTAACGTCACTGCTGCAACACCGGCTGCAATCGGATGCCATTTCTTGAGGACGGGAGTGAAAACTTCTTTCTCCGTAGCTGCCAATTCTTCTGTTGCATTAGCTAACTTGATGAGTGTCTCTATCACATCGTCGTTTTCAAAAGTTGTGATGTTTATATTCCGTTCTTCCAACATCTAGATGAAAAAAACAGTGATGTTAACGTTTTTATTAGAACTGAACATATATACATCTATTGATAGAAGTACTAAAATACAAACCTTATTGAATGCAGTCCTTAACGATGAACGGATAAAGTGATTCACTCTATTCCCCGTTGAATCATCTTTCACATCCCCTTTCTCAGCAGCAGAAGATACATATCCCGGAACATCTTCCTCTAATATTTTCGAAGCAGAGAACATAAGAGGAATAATATTTTCCATGTGAAAACTGGCATGATAATTCAACAATCTCTTCTCACACCATCGTTTCATTGAGGCTAAAACACTCTTTAACATCTTAAGATAAATAGGATCCCTGTCTACTTTCTTAGCATCATTTGCAACTTCCGTTAACATAGTCAATGTTGCACCAAGAAGATCAGGCTCGACTTGGTTAGTCACAACATATTGCTCGAAAAGCACCCATGTAAAACACAAGTTATGAATTGATCTAGTAATACCTAATGTAGACCATGTCTTTTTCATCAATTCAAGAAGCTCATCAACCTCATTAAGGACTAACGTATCATCTTTAAGATCAAATATCGAGCCTAAGAGAGCCGTGTAAATGTGGATGTTGAGAGGGAATCCATCAGCCCAACGGCATGTATCACTAGGAGTGTCATCAACACTTCTCCAAGCTAAGGAGACTACTGCATTGCATAGTGATTTCATGGTCTCGGAATTCTTGCTAGTGTCGATTGTTTTGATCTCACAAGCTTGAATGATGTCTAGTAATCGCGATGCAGATGCATTGTCTTTTTCTACTGGGATAGAAGGGTGAAGGAGAAGGCCTATATCCAGGATACGAAGCTGACGCTTTTGCCATAGATGGTATTCTTGAGTATCGTTGAATTCGTATGGTTTAAGGTGGCGTAAAAGCTCCAATGGTAAGATTATTGTCTCTGCTCTCCTCCCAATCTGCACAAAAATTCTTCCATTTGAGGTACTAAGGTAATGCTAGGATGCAAACATTATAAGAATTATGAGTTAGACAATAATAATGTTACTAGTAGTATTTAAGGAAGAAACATTTACTCCGTCTGTTTCAGTTTAGGTGTCTTAGTTTGATTGTATATGAAGAAAATAAGTAAAGACTTCAAAATCTTGGCTTATGGCCTTAATCTAACAATGTTTACAATGCATCGAAATGCTTTTTGAATCTTATGATTTTAAATATGTTGAGTTACTAAATATGTTCTCTTTGTTTTAATTTGTTTGTCTTACTTTCTTTGTTAGTCTACTTCAAAAAAGAATGTCTTTTCATTTTTGGCAAATTTATCATGTTTAAGGTCACAAGATTAAACAACATTTAGGTACATGCCACGCATCTTTAGTTTAACACTACAAAATTCAAAAATATTTTTTACTTTCTTAAATTTTGTGTCAAATCAAAATTAGACAAATAAAATTGAAACAAGTAAAAGTATTAAGGAGTAGCATTTTTCTAAACATACTAAAAAGGAAAATTAAGACTCACAAATTAAAACGAAGGGAATTAATAGAGAGATAAAGCATAAAGTAATAAAATTTGAAAATTATGGTTTATTAAGCAAAACACATTTTCTTTTGATAAAACAAATAAAAATTCTAAAAAAGAACTTTTTCTCAAAGCCATTTGCAATTTTAGAACATAAAAATAGTTTTGACAAAAAAAGACGTCATTTCTTTGTGTTGGTCGGTCTTTAATTTATGCCCTTCATGAGAAATACTAACTTTTTCACAGACATAAATTTATATTTCATGTCATAATATTCCACAAATTATATTCAAATGCAAAAGACTCATCATTTGGAAGGCAAAACGTGTAATTTTAGTATTAAAAAAACACTTAAAATAGTTTCAAATGCATGCAAATTACGTACTTGGCCTACAAGAGTTCTCATAAGAGTTTTCCTTAGCCTATTATCACTCTGCTCCGACACTCTCATCTGCAACCTCATAATCTCGGCGGACGTCAATGGCCTCCGTATCTTCACCTGCTGCACCGTCGAGCCCGAGGGTGTCCTTGGGCTCGCAACTCCAGCAGGTGAAGATGGACCATTAACACCACCACCGCCACCAGACTTCCTCCGCGACGGAGACTTCTTCAACATCTTCAACCCCAACGCCGTTTTCACCCTACTAGTTATCGCCATCCCTACCCCGGTCGGTTTCGGTGACCCGGGACACGACAAACCCGAACCTGACCCGGATCCATTTCCTTCACCCGACCCGTCCGATGACGAAGAAATTGCCGCCGTCCTACCACCAAACCCCGGCGATGACCTACACGCCGTGAAGAAAATCTCGTAAGCTGCCTCTCGAAAATCATCCCGATCGAGTCCTTCTAGATCTCCGAATGGCCATACGAGATCGACGACGATGATCGGGTCATCCGATTGGATAGGATTCGGGTCGGATTTTTTAGCGGGTTGAGTTTTTATAGTTTGGGGAAGGTGAAATTGAGGCGGCATTTTTTTTTTTTTTAAAAAATGCGGGTGGATTACGGCGACGAGGAGAAGTTTTTTTTTTTCTTAAAAAATCAGTCAAATATCAGGCGGAAGAGGGAAGCAGATGAGCATTATATTTTGGAGAAAAAGGAAGAAAAAAAAAAGTAGAAAAAAGAGAAAGATTTGATTGAGACAGAGAAAAAAAAAGAGAAGAGAAAAAGAATGGTTAAGGCAATTTCTGTTAGTTTGTTTGGGTGAAGAAAATGAGAAGCAAAGGTTGTTGCTAAATGGCGCCAAATACGTATTTTTCGGTTTATCATGCGATGAATTTATTTATTTTCTAGCATGGAAGGAGCGGAACTAGATAGAGCTAAAGGGATTCGTTTGAATCTTTTTTGATGAGAAATTATATTATTTATATAGAGGTAACGGCGCGGAGCGAACTTGGAGCTAGGGGTAGAAGGTTTGGAATTCGGATGAATCCCTTTTGTTGAAAAATATTTAAAAAAGTTTTATGTATATATAGTATGTTGAACCTTCTAATTTATCTAGTTCACGTGTTTACTTCTTCACATTTATTTGGCTCTGCCATTGTTTACTTCTTCGCATTTATTTAAACTACATAAATCACACTAGTTTAGGTCACAATTACAAAGATTCACGATAGTTTCGAATATTAATTCATCTACCATATTTAGTCCTTTGGATACATGTATCATTACTCTTCAGATACATGTATCCGACGGTTTTAAAAACCGAGCCACATGTTTTATTTGTTTGAATTAAATGATAGTAACTGATTTCCTTAATTAAAGGAGTAATTGAAAACTTTATAATATATGGACAACTAATTCTGCAAATTTAAATTAGTCAAATCTCTTAATATAAGACGAAAATCAAAGAGTGTATCTATGTTTAATTTATTTTATTTTATTACTCTTTAAAATAATAAATTCATTAATATTATTAATGACAAAAACATGTGTATTTTGATTATGTAATTTGATTTATTTTATTTTATTACTCTTAAAATAATAAATTCATTAATTGATGTATCTATTATCAATATATGATGTATCGAACAAACTAAACACTTTGATACATGAGTGTATATTTGCACATATATAACATAAACATGTGCTAACCCCTTAGTTACATAAAAAACTGATGGACTTTGACCAGATGACCACAAATACAATCAGACGTATCATGAAGACATATTAATCTTTTATTCCATATGAACAAGTAGACTATGGTACATGTACATTCATATGTTACATATCAATATCAAGTATTAATCTTATGTATTTATTATATGTATCTAGTATTAATTTCTTGTATCTAATTTGATGTATCAAGAAAAAAACAGGGTAAATGAAATTGAAAACAGAGTGAGGATAATTGAAAAACTCTTCAAAAACACGGAGATCTCTTAGTTCCAGTATCCAGAAGATCAAATCAATGAATCACCGACATAATTGGTCTCGAAAAAGATATTGAACAAGTGTGCAAATCACTGTTATCTAACTATTCATATTTTTCGTCCTCATCCATCCTCCCATATTGGAGTACCAGTTATTCCAATTATAGCCGGGGGGTTCGATATATAGCGGAATACATATCACAAAAACACAGAGTCAATCTGTGCATAACATGACGCCCTTGAACGAGGGTGATAGTTGGGCTTTGTTCAACAAGGTGTTATCTCACAGGGCTTCAGTTAATTTTACTAAACTTACTCAGTGTGAGTAATCCCACAAAATCCCCAACTCTGTGTAATATTTTGCAGAGCGGGAAATGGTTAGATGTTGTAATGGCTTACCAGGGATGATCAAGTATCTTGCATTGTACCTGCGATCTAAAAAAAGTGATGAGGAGTGGGAGATGCTGCATCAAAATACCCAACCATTTATCTCTTAATTCTGTTGTCTAGTTTATAAAGAGTTACCAGCAACCATGCTTTATTTACTTAGGTCATTTCCTCGAAAATCAATTGATAGATCCCGAAAAGTTGTCCCATGTGTTGATGATGGAAGGGTTATTATCAGCAAGACAAAGTGTTAAAGGCGAGCGCATGATGGACATGACTGAGAGATATCTGAATTAAAGAACTAGCTCATATGGTCGTGGTAGAGGTGCAACCAGAGGAAGTTCCAACAACCAAAAAATTCTTCAAGGCTTGTCACTTTGTTCAAGGTATGGAAATTTTTTGTGTCTCAAATTGTGAAGAAAAATGTTTTCTCAAAATCATCGATTTAAGACCAGAGGACTGTTCACTCTCATCGAGTGATGGACCACGTCGACTTGTGATATATCTAGGTAAGTACAATGTTGATATCCCTCCTAAAGTTTCTAAAACTATTCGGAGTCTTAGAGTGGTTCTTCTTAGAAACCAGCATGAATTGGTCAGCCCAGATAAAATGCTAAACCTAAAGGAGTTTGGAGTGCTCAGAGTTCTTGATTTTGATGGGATTGATTTTCAATGGCAGAAACTACTGACGAATATTTCCAATCTCGAGTTCTTGAGGTATCTAAGCTTCAAAGGGTGTATCCTCGATGAGTTGCCATCATCTATTTGCAAGTTATCCTACTTGCGAGTATTTGATTTGAGAGTAGAAGGAGGAGTATACGAGATAAAAATCCCAAACGTTCTATGGAAGTTGAGGAGGCAGAAACATTTATACCTTCCGCTAAAATTTGCAACTCAAAATGGTGAAAACCTCCAACTCAATAACTTGACACAACTTGAAACCTTGGTGAACTTCAACACAAGCTTGTGCAGAGCTAATGAAGTCTCAACACTTTGTAAACTCCGTTACTTGGAAGCAAAGGTTGAAAATAATTTCCCCGACTTTAAATCAATCACCAGTTACATGAGAACTAGTACTTCAAACGAATGTCAGCTACATTGCTCCATTGACATCATAGATTTGAATTGCTATGCAAAAGAATATAGTACTGTTCTAAAAGAATTCTTAAGTTGTGAAGTACTCCGAACCTTGCAATTCAAAGGATTTATTGGACTCCTATCACCGTCTCCTAAAATCTCCCCGAATCTCACTCAGTTACTTCTTCATAAGTCTCCATGCCAATCTTGGAGAAGCTTCCTAGTTTAGGGATTCTTGTCCTCACTGATAATGCCTGTGTGGGGGAGGAAATGGTCTGTTCAGCTTCAGGTTTCCCTCAGCTCAAATGCTTACGACTCCTCAATTTGTCCGAGCTGCAGAAAATCCAGGTGGGCAATACTGCCATGCCTATACTTTCCAACATAGAAATCAACAATTTGTCCGAGCTGCAGAGAATCCAGGTGGAAAATACAGCCATGCCTATACTTTCCAACATAGAAATCAACAACTGCCAGAAACTTGTTATCAACAGCATTCCAATGCTTCCACGCAGTATTGCTTGATAAAAAGAAGAAGATCCTGATCAGCTACTTTGTATCCGGATACCTCAAACAATTTTTTCTAGTCCTACTGTAACTTCTTGTAATGTTGCTTCTTTTTTCATATGAATGTTGTGTTGTTTGAGACAAAATGATTTAGTTTTCAACATTTAACTAGTCATTTCTTATCACATTCTGAAGAATCTAATCGAAACACGTAGTTGGTCAAATCATTGAATTTTGTCTCCCTAGTCTAACAGTATAATCACATACAAAGACGAACTACACTAAAGAATCAGAGTCTATGAATCATACCTTATCACAGAGTTGTTCCAACGCTTTTCAGGCAAGACGATTCTTGCTCATGAAATATATTGCAACACCTGCATTCTCGACTATTATTACCCAATTCTTTTAAAAAAATAACCCGCCACCCGACCCAACTAACTTAACCCCCACCCTAAATTGCAACATGAGTTGATGAAACAAGGCATAGATGGACTAGATTACAGTACAATGTTGAACAACACAGCAAAGATCAGAAAAGTGATGATAGCAGAAGATGAATCAAAGTCCACTTCTTTCACTCATAATCATAACTACAGAACGCCTTAGAATGGATACCAAATCCAAATAGATGAAGTTCGCCGTAGATATAGACTTGAGAGCCCAAGTTGTAAACAGTATGGAAATGGGTATATTTGTTAGGGTTAAGTTAGTTAGGTCAGGTTTGGGTTATATTAGGGTGGTAGGTAATTTGATCTGATTTGGAGTTTTCCATCCAATTGAAAGGGATGGGTTATAACAGAAGGTAAAACTAACTATATTAAACAACAGTTAGAGGGGTATTTTTTACCATAAGCATAAGCAAGCCAAATTAAAACTACAGTTAACAGAAAATATTACGAAATAGGCAAATACTAGTGACAAATACTTGTTGTAAACTTGAAACAACTGCAAACTTCAAAAATTAAAGCAATCCAACCAATCCCATTTAGCATATAATGCTTGCAAGAATTAACTGTATGTGGAACGAAACCAGTAGGCGAAGCCCTCCACTCCAGCTATAGGTGAGTTAATGGATGAAATCGAGCACTATGATCAGTGCTGTTGAGCCTGCCGACTTGGAACACCACCATAGCCACCACCATAGGTTCCATTTTGCTGAGCACCATAATTACCAGAACCTTGTGAGGTATCAGACCTCAATGTTGAATTTCCATTAGCATCGCCATAGCCACTGCCCATGTAACCTCCACCTGATTGCATGTCTCCCGATGCACCACCTCCAATAGATGGATTTCCATAAGCACCATCATTTACGCCATATCCACCATAGCCATAACCTTGATTTCCATATCCTGTGGCCCCAGTTGGAGACTGGCCAGTAGCAGATCCTCCGTTAGCAGCCCCACCTCCACCACCTGCACTTGAAGCACCCCAGGATGCATTACCATAGCCCATATTTCCATATCCAGAAGGAATCTGAGAGCCCCACGAGCTTCTTGGTCCACCAGCTTGACCACTACCATAACCAGTACCGGGCACATTTGGATTTCCGAAGGCAGCAACTGCAGGACTACCATATCCAGGATTGACACCCCCATAGCCAGGATTGGCTCCACCGTAACTTCCATAAGCACCATAACCCATGCCATTGTTGGACGATCCATAACCATAACCTGCGGTACCATATCCGGAGGAACCATAAGATGGAAAACCACCTCCGGTGTTTTGTGATTGCATGTATCTGTTGGTATCCATTCTGTCATAAGAACTGGGATTGTCACCAGATGCACCATACCCCTGGTAACTTCCACCACCCATACCACTACCACCGTTGCCTGTGGAACGACCACCAAAACCAGAATTACCATCTTTAGGAAGAGCACGTTTTACTTCTACTTGTTTCCCACTGAGATCATGATATGTCTTGTGCAAAACCCTATCTACTGCGTCTTCAGAATCAAATGAAATGAAGCCAAACCCACGAGGTCGGTTGGTCTGTTGATCAAACATAATTGCGACATCAGTGACATTACCGTAAGTTTCAAAGTAAGTTCTAAAGCCATCCTCAGTCAGAGTAGGAGGCAATCCCCCAACAAATATTTTCTTAGTCCTGGTATTTCCACCGCCTCCAAAACTTCTAGCACTACCCATATTTCCAGATTTTGGACCCTGTTGTTCCTCTCTGGACAAGGCCCTCTTAGCCTCAACCTATACAGAAAAAAATGTCATTGAGCTAAGTAAAAGAAAAACAATTTCAGATGCAAGCAAGATAGACACAAAGGACAGATTTTTTTAATAAAAAGATTCCCAAAATTTAAGTCAAATTTTCCATCAACTAGGTTATTACTTGGGGGGGAAACCTCTTACTAAAAGACATAAAATTATCATCTGAAACGTACTAAACTTCTGTTGAACATGCAAGCGTCTTATTATGACTTCCCGAAAGTAAAGATGAAACAACAGGCCTGGAAAAACAAATAAATGTACAAATGATTTGACATCTTAATAGAAGCGCAGCACTGAACTGTAAAAGACGCCACTTTAAGAAATTATCACAGGAAATCTTCCATTTGACAGTGCAACTAGTAACAATGGGATGATTCAACAAATGCCCTATTAAGTCACTGAAATGTTCAGAGCAAATAATGCTCTAATCTAGAAAGAAAATGCATATTAACTAAAAATAAATCACTATCATAGTGCTCTTATCAGTTACCTACTTACCATCACCACTGCAGAACTCATTGTGAACAAACTACTATCTATTCTCATTAATAATACCAAAAGAGGACATCAGGACTAAAATAAACCTGCCTGCACCCCATCAACCGAAAGAAGAAAAACTTATCTCTATCTACAAGTCAGCACACTGCATAACACAAATATTTACTACTCTATGTGCCACATTGTAGGACATTTTTTTCAACAAGTCAGATATTATTTTATCATTATCACACAAAGAAAGTGTCAAAAACATCAGGGAGGAAACAATCATCCCACTTCCCATCCACTGCATCAAGTGCATGGCTTGATAATGAAACACACTTTGCTGTACAGTTCCAGCTTCGGAAGGCACAATAGAGACACACCATCTAGCAAAATTATGATCTTATACAAAACTGACCATTATGCAGGAGAAGCAAGAAATTGCACTACAACTACTACTACTGCTACACATCGATCCCAAGCAAGTCTACCCATCGTATAACAAATAATTAAATATTCGAGAATCTTACAAATTTACAACTCTATTTACCACATTGTATATACAGTCCTCTAATCCACAAAGAAGGGCACATCAACCTAATAATTTTTTTGAAACATGAAAAGGAGTATAATGGTAAAAGAAACCCATTGCATCGAGGTGCACAGCTCGATCAACGGAAGCAATCTGGTCACATAATTCTAGCTTCCCAAGGAACAACAGCAACACGCACTATAGCAAAAATCATCACACATACACAAAACACCATTACACAGCACATTAGGAATCATTCAGCCCACATGGCACTCAAACGCACAACAGAACTACTGCAAAGAATAAGTTAACCTCATCCGCTGTTTTCACATTTAAAAAAAAGGACACAAGCAACACAGTGTGTACTCACAAAACTGACTCGAGAAACTATTATTTACAAAAAAAAAACACAATATAAAGATGCAGACTTTACTTAAGTTTCAGGAGAATATGTCTACTCGCAAAATTGTCTGAGAGAAACTATTACTTATAAGAAACCACAATACAAAAGATGCAGACTTTACTTTAACTATCAGGAGAACTTGATAAATACAAAATCACAACCAGAAGAAGATAACAAAACCATATCAATAAATTTCATAAGCATAAACCAGCTCAAGAAATGAAGTGATCTGAGAGACCCAAGAAAAGACTTAAACTTTAGTACCCAAAGAGCATAATCAAACTAAGATCATATCTGTATCAGAACTCAACAAGGATAAAGACGTGCATAAAATGGATAATCAGCAACCAAATAAAGACCCCACAACTCAAATGTCACGATGATAGACACAAAAGCACAACCTAAATTGGAAATGCCACATTAGGAAACACCCAGAAAACAACCACAAACAAGCACATTTAACCAAAACTCCACAACCCTGGGCGAAAAAGAGCAGAAAAATAAACAACACCCAGAAGCCCCAAATTAAAGAGGAACTTCACATCATGATAACAGAAGCAAAAACACATCCTAAATTGGAAATGCCACATCAGGAAATTCCCAGAAAACAATCACAAAATCAGTACACCTAACCAAAACTCCACAACTACAAAATTTCAAATAAAATCAACAATCACGACCACAGCCAAACTAATGACCAGAAGCTAAAACAGAGAAACAAACAAAATTAACGAAACCCCATTAGCTAAAATCACGAAATAAACAAAAAAAACACAAAAAATCTCACCGTACGTCCATCAATTACATGGGTATCCTGAAGAACCCTATCAAGAACACTAGGATCTGCAAATACAACAAACCCAAATCCTCTAGGCTTCCCAGTAATCTTATCCCTCATTACTACGGTCTGTAAAACATCACCATACCCTTGAAAATACTCCTTCATCTTCTCCTCTGATGTTTCCCATGATATCCCACCAATAAATAGCTTTGCTTGATCTGAATCCATACTTTTTTTTTCTCTCCCTCTATACTTTCTCTCTCTCTATCTATATATATATAAGATGTATATATATGTATAACAAAAAAATTGTAGATTTTAGTGTGTGTGAGGAAGAAGAGAGAGTGAGGGTTTGTGTAAGAGAAAATCTGGAAAAGAGGCGCCGACTGGGGAAGAGAATAGTAGTGAAGGATTATGAATTTTGGGGACAAGGAATGAACGGTTGTGATTTGACGAGATCAATGGTGGTGATTGAGAGAGCAAATTTAATAATTTTATATATTTTTATTTTAAAGGAGCATATGAATATTAACAAACGAGTTGTGGTGCGACAGTAAGTACTCGAGTTCAATTTTAACAATAAAAATGTTTAAGTTTGATGTAGCGAGCATGCTAACACACACGAAAATTGAAAAAAAATCGGTTAATTTTAATTGAGTGACCCTAAATGCAAAAAATATGGTGTATATTATGGTGAAGCTATACGAATTGTTCCACGTTTCATTACAGAAGGACCTGTAGAGGTTTTTGAAAATAGAGTGTCGAAAATCATATAACCAAAAAAATCATTGACTAAACTTGACAACTTTTAGATTATTATGCTTGTTGGACCATAATAAATAAACTCAATATCAATACTTCAATAGAAAAAGGTTCTTCTAATTTTTTTTGTGTGAGCCTTGAATGAGCTACATTCCCTTCGATCCATTTCCTGAACCAGAGGCGTCTTGCTTAGATCACATTTGTTTTTCTTTACTCCTGAATAGTGAAAGGCTGAGCCTTTTTTGTTCAACCCTAGTGTTGGAGCAACTACAGGAATTTCTCATGGTTCGCTACTAAATCATTTTTACAACTCTCAACTGACCTTGAATTGGCCAAAAAGCTTTCTATTTGAACGAAATTTCACAATTGCAAAAGTTTCGATTTCGATCGATTATAATTTTAACATTACTTGGTGAAATAGGTTCTTGGCTTCCGGACGAATTCTTTGTGAAATCATTACGGAGCCCTCTGCGGGGAGTTTGAAGAGCAGTACATATAGTCTCATCATTTATAGCGTCCATTTTGGGCATTTAAGGCAATTTACAGAAATTAGGCGATTTTCTCAATTTTTCGAGTGTGTTAGCTCATGAATATTGGTGGTATGACTTTTGCACGATTTTTTTACGAAATCATAACTAAATCCTTTGTAGGGAGTTGGGGGAGAAGAACGTACAATTTTACCATTTTTAGAGTCCATTTTAGGTATTTAGGGGCCTATTTTACAGAAATTAAGTGAGTATCTCAATTTTTCGTGTGTGTTAAACCATAAATATTTTTGTGATATGACTTCCGAACGATTTTCTTGCGAAACCATTACAGAACCGTCCGTAAGGGAGTTGAAGGAGTAGTATGTACAATCTCACCATTTTTAGAGTCCATTTTGAACATTTAGGGGCTAATTTACGAGAATTAGCTCATTTTCTTAAATTTTTCGTGTGTGCTATTCCATGAATATTTTGGTGATATGATTTTCAAACGAACTTTTTTGTGAAACCATTACGGAACCCTCCACAGAGAGTTGAGGAGGAGTATGTACAATCTCATCATCTTTAGAGTCCATTTTGGGCATTTAGGGCCCAATTACAAAAATTAGGCGATTTTCTCAGTTTTATATGTGTGTTAACCAATGAGTAATTAATTTAGTGATATGTCTTCTAGATGAATTCCTTACGAAATCATTACGGAACCCTCTGTACGGAGTTGGGAAAGCAGTACGTACAATTTCACCTTTTTTAGAGTCCATTTTGGACATATAGGGGCTAATTTCCAAGAATTAGGGCGATTTGCTAAGTTTTTTTTGTGTGTACTAGCTCATGAATAATTTGTGATATGGCTTTAAGAATATTTTCTTGCGAAATCAGTATAGAACCCTCTGTGGGAGTTGGGGGAGCAGTACTTACAGTCTTACCATAGGGAGTTTGGGGGAGGAGTACGTATAGTCTCACCATTTTTAGAGTTCATTTTGGGCATTTAGGGCCAATTTACACGAATCAGGTGTTTCTCAATTTTTCGTATATGTTAGCCCATGAATATTTAGGTGATATGGCTTTAAGAATGTTTTTTTGTGAAACCTTACAGAACCTTTTGTGGGAGTTGGGGTAGCAGTACATTACAGTCTCACCATTTTTAAAGTCCATTTTGGACATTTAAGGGCCAATGTATGTGAATTATCTGGTTTTCTTAGTTTTTCATGTGTGTTAGCCCATGAATATTTTGGTGATATGAAATTCAAACAACTTTTTAACGAAACCATTACGGACCCCTCGTAGAGAATTGAGGGAGCGGTACGTACAGTCTCACCATTTTTAGATTTCATTTAGGGGCTATTTTACAGGAATTAGGCAATTTTATTTTTATTTTTTTCATGTGTGTTAGGTTATGAATATTTTGATGATATAACTTTCGAATGAGTTCTTTATGAAACTATAACGTAACCCTCCATAGAAAGTTGGGGGATCAGTACGTACGGTCTCACCATTAAAAGCTCGTTTGGATTGACTTAAAAAAAATAGCTTTTAAGTTAAAAATAAAAAGTCAAACTGAATGACTTTTAAGTCAAAAAATAAAAAGTAGTGGAGACCTACTTTTGGTTTCTGACTTATTTTAAGTCATTTTTTACCTTGCCAAACACTTCGTAACTTATTTTAAGTTATTTTTTATATTTATCAAACACTTTTAGAAGTCAAAAACTTATTTAAAAATAAGTTTGACCAACTTTTAAGCCAATTCAAACACCCTCTAAGTCCATTTTAAACATTTTTGGGCCAAATCTTAATGTTATTTGTTTATTTCTCACTTAAAGATGTCCACCTTGCAGGTTATCACATGACAGATATCTCCTCATGTGGTTCTTACTACTTGCCCCAATTGTTTAAAATTTGCTTACACATGATTAAAGAACTTTTACTCTTTTTTTCTTCGGTATTTGATATTCATATTTTTAGGGTATTTTGTTTCTAATAGATTTTTTTCATGCTCCCAACATATTTTCCCTTATTTCTAGAGGTTCAAATTTGAGATTATCAATTAAAATTGTAGAGATTTCAATGATTTTACCACAAGTCATATTGATAACTTCTGATGTTCTTAATTGTATAATGCTTCATTGATGTTAAATTCAAGGATATGACTTAATAATAACTTAAGTGAGTTGAAAATCATGAAATTTTAAATTTAAATTTCAACAAAAACAAAAAATTACTTTTCCATCTGTCCTAGTGTCCGAGCACTAAAAAAAAACACAAATACTTCACATGATGTTGGTTGAACTCCATTAATAGTGGATATAAGAGGCAAATATTCATTATTCTTTTTCAACATAAGAGACAAATATACCCAAAAATATTCAAATTTCAAATATATTGGAATTGAATAAGGTTGGTCAAACTTATGAAGTTAATTCTCTTCATCTACTCTCACCTCTCTCTTACCTAGGGAATATTTCTTCCACTCTATGAGTTTTTTTTTTGTTTTTTATTAGTAGTACAAATACTAAGATATCATGATTTTCTTAATAAAAAATAATAAGAATCTTTCATTCTTAAATTATTTTTTTAAAAAGAATGTTACTTTCATATTTCATGTAACACTCTAAATTACTCCGTCTATTACACTTGTCAATTGCGGAATGTAAGTTGATTAGATCGATTCTTTCTAATAGTAGAATTACATAAGTTTTTCTACAAGCACTATTCTAATTTTGACTTAGTGAACTTTCTTTTTGAAAATACTATTGACACATAATTTTAATCTTAAAAGTTCAATTATGTTTCAATCTTATGTGTTAATTAATGTCAATGACCCATCATAAGAATTTTTATAACTACAAAAATATTTATAATAGATTTAACACCATAAATTCTTTTTCAAAAAATTCTTAAGTTACATGTGATCATGTCTAATCAAACACAGTTAGTAGTACATAATAAAATATAGGGACCATCACTTTCTCCTTAAAAAAAGACTAACTATTTTTCTAATAAAATAATTACCACTTTTTCATAAAAATGGACTATTTTCTAAAGTATAATAGTACTACCATCAATAATCATCTATTATTCATCTATCACTAAAAGATAATAGTGTGGAAAATTGAGCTAATTCTCCTTTAATTAAAGTTTTTGAGTTCTAGTTTCGAGTATAAGAAAATTTTTGTTATATAGTGCTTTATTTGAATGGAGCGTTACACAACATATATTTAGATTAATCAAACTCCAATGAAAATACCGAACACCGAATGAACAAATATTAATATTTTTTATCTTTTTTTCTTTGGTTTTCCATCCAATGGTCGGAGTTTGCATTGAAACTCCAATTAAATCGAAATCACACATTGTGGACCTATTTGAGAGTGGTACTTCCAATAAAATTTCTCCATATTCCGAATTCATGTTCAAAACTTTTGATTAAAAGTGAAACAATCTCATCACTACGACACAATTGTGTATTTTTCATGTCATGTGTACTGCTAGTAGAGATAACTTCTATCTGCACAATAAAAGAGAAAGTTGAATTACACCACCAAGACAAGGCTCCCTTTTTTGAGAAAGAAAGAAAGAAAGCAAAAACAGCAAATAAACCCTTCAACATTTTCTCATTTTCACTATTCAAAAACCCAAGCTTAAAATCTTTATTTAAAAAAAATAAAATACCAACAACAATGGAATAATTCATCAAGAATCCACAAAAAATGGGTTTGCCCACAAAGCCATTTTGCATATTCTCTCTTTTCTTAGTTATATTTACCATTTTCAAGCTAACCCCACAAGCTAAATCTGATTCTGATTACACTAACTTGATTTACAAGGGTTGTGCAAAGCAAGATTTGTCAGATCCATCTGGGGTTTACTCACAAGCCCTTTCTTCCCTTTTTGGCACTCTTGTTTCACAGTCTTCAAAGTCCAAGTTCTATAAGACCAGTACTGGTAGTGGACAATCCACAATTTCTGGTCTTTTTCAGTGTAGAGGTGACCTTTCTAATGTTGATTGCTATAAATGTGTTAGTGGTTTGCCAATACTCATAGATAAGTTATGTGGTAGCAAGCCTGTTGCTGCAAGAATCCAGCTTTATGGCTGTTACATGCTCTATGAGGTTGCTGGTTTCCCTCAAATATCTGGAATGGAGATGCTGTTCAAGACTTGTAGTGGGAAAAATGCTCCAGGTAGCTTAGGAGGATTCAAGATTTAAACTTTACTAGTTCTATTTCAAATATTTTGATTTTTTAGTGATTCTTGCATATATAGTTACACTCTGTGTTGATAGGTTCACTCTTTAGTACTGGTAGTGGGAAGTCCACAATTTCTGGTCTTTTTCAGTATAGAGGTGACCTTTGCTTTAAATGTGAGTGGCTTGCCAATACTCATTGATAAGCTGTGTGGTAGCAAGCCTGTAGCTGCAAGAATCCAGCTTTTTGGCTGTTACATGCTCATCTCTGGAATGGAGATGCAGTATAAGACTTGTACTGGGAAAAATGCTCCTGGTAGCATAGGCGGATTCCAGATTTAAACTTTACTAGTTCAATTTTAACTTTTTTGATGTTCTTTGAATTTTTAGTGTTTCTTTCCATATATAGTTATACTCTGTGTCAAAGTCGGATTCAGAATTTGAAGTTTCTAGGTCCGCTCTTTAGTACTGGTAGTGGGCAGTCCATAATTCCTGGTCTTTTTCAATGTGGAGGTGACCTCTCTAATGTTGACTCCTATAAATGTGTGAATGGTGTGCCAATACTCATTGATAAGCTATGTGGTAGCAATCCTGTTGTTGCAAGAATCCAGCTTTATGGCTTTTACATGCTCTATGAGGTTTCTGGTTTCCCTCAAATCTCCGGAATGGAGATGCTGTTCAAGACTTGTAGTGGGAAAAATGCTCCAGGTAGCATAGGTGGATTCAAGATTTAAACTTTATGAGTTCAATTTTAACCTTTTTGGATTTTTATTGTTTCTTGCATATATAGTTATACTCTGTGTCAAAAGTACTGGTGTAGGTAGCTGTGTTGTATTTAGAATTTAAATTTTATTTATTCGCTCTTTAGTTCTGATAGTAGGCAGTCCATAATTTCTGGTCTTTTTCAGTGAAGAGGTGACCTTTCTAATTTTTGACTGCTATAAATGTGTGTGGGGTTTGCCAGTACTCATAGATAAGCTCTGTGGTAGCAAGCCTGTTGCTACAAGAATCCAGCTTTATGACCGTTACATGCTCTATATGAGGTTGCTGGTTTCCCTCAAATCTCTGGAACGGAGATGCTGTAGAAGACTTATAATGGGAAAAATGCTTCAATCTAAATTTTACGAGTTCAAATTGTTAGATTTTAACTGCAGAACCGGTTGTGCATTTCAAATATGTGTTAAAAATTTAGTATTTCCTGAGTTTCTGGTGATTTTGTTACATATATTTATGTTGTGTCTCGAAAATTCTGGTTTTGGTCTAACATGTACTTATACCTACATACAACAACCACAGCTAGGTAGTTATATCAGATTCAGAATTTAAGTTTTATAGGTTCAATCTTTAGTATATACCACCGTACCCATTACACTCTTCAAATTACATGTTCAAGATTTAGTATTTCTTTCATATATATATATTTAGAATCCGTGTCGAAAATATTGTCAGGTAGTGGGTTTGAGGAAAGAAGGGATACTGCTTTTTCCACATTGGAAAATGGCATGGCTAGTAGCAATGGCTTCTACACAACAAGCTATCAGTCTGTTTATACCATGGGGCAATGTGAAGGGGATGTTGGCTCCGCTGATTGTGCTGATTGTGTGAAAAATGCTGTCCAAAAAGCTCAGGTGGAATGTGGAAGCTCCGTCTCTGGGCAAATCTTCCTGCACAAATGTTTTATTGGTTATAGTAATTCTCCAAATGGGGTCCCTAGAACATCATCGTCGTCTTCAGATTGGTCCCCTGCTTCATCTTCAGGTATTACATATACTGATATAGAACCTCTTGTCTAGCTTTATATGCTCGAGGTCTTCAAAAATGCTGCAGGGTGTGTGTCAGATCCTCCAAAAGTAATGCATTTTTGGAGGATCTGAAACAGGCATGATCACATTTTTGGGGAGTCTATATATCCTAATTGATTTGCTGAAGTTGCCATTCTACTAAATTGGTAATTGCTTATGATTTTGCCAGTGTCAAACAAAGTCAAGCTAATAAACTTTTGTATTCTTGGACTTGTGATAAAAGGTCTGAATCACTAGTGCTATTAAGTTGATTATATCAAACCCCTCTTTAGCTCTAATCCCATAGATAATTTCTGACTAGTCTTCGTGTATTGGAAGAGCAAGAAGTGGAGTTAGAGTAAAACTTTCTTCTCCTTACGGAGAGATTGTCTATTTTACTTGATCGAGGACAACCCGAACTTCAGTTACTTCAATGCACCTTTTTCTTTCCTTAGATTAATCAAAACTTTGTCCTCCTTGGATTTTCCAGCCATTCTTTTTGTTTATTGTCTACAATTATATTGTAAAGAGAGCTGCATTTAATAATTGTCGTAGGGTCAGGGCAAAATGTGGGGAAGACAGTGGCTATAATACTAGGAGGGGTAGCTGGAGTGGGGTTTATACTCATATGCGTGCTGTTTGCAAGGAATCAAATGAAGAAACATGACGGTACGCCTAATTTGACTAATGTACTATATTGTTTTCAATAGTTTGAAACATTGTCTCTTGCTTATACTGTTAAATCTATGCATTATTTGCTGCAGATTATTGAAGGAGTCAGACTTGTTTACTATGACCGGCAACGCTTTCCTGAGGTGGATTCTTTTTTTCGATTCTCTTCTTGAAAGGAAAATAGAAATCAAAGGATTTTGTGTCTGTAATTCTTGGTTTTTCTTAGTTAAACAGGAAAACGGTAACTGTTTGGAAGAGAATAATTTTTGGGCTATGAAAATTGAGATGTATGGTGATAAGTTCTTGAAAAAAAAAAGTGAACTTAAATTGTTAGTTATGTATTAACAAGATTAGAAAGAGTCCTATTGTGCCGAGGGTCTATCGGAAACAGCCCCTCTTCCCCACAAAGGTAGAGGTAATGTCTGCATACATCCTACCTTCCCCCGACACCACTTGTGGGATTACACTGAGTATAATATTGTTGTTTTTATTAGGAAGAGTCCTTTTGATTTTTAACTTTTTCTCCAATTGCCATGTGCATATTGTCTCTTTGTCCAGTTCACTTGAAAATATGCTTCTACATTTTCTTCAAAAGTTTCTTACTTTACAGAAAGTTCTTTGTTTTCTCTTCATTTGTAGGCTGTATATGTTTGTCTTAACTTCCATCGTTTATTTTGTATCGATACTTTTATGCTAGTCCAGTCAAACTCCAATACTGACAGTAACTCATCAGAAACTCCCAAGACTAACAGCAAGGTGTATCTCATATTCAACAGTTCATTGCATATGTTTTATCCCCTCAACTCGGAAAGGTGAAAAAGAACTGAGGACACGGGGATGGCAAGGAAGTCTTCGATGGTTCATTTTGTGATAAAGAAGGGAGAAGAGAGTCTTGTATGCCTCAGATTGTCGGAGTTGGCCTCACTTTTGTGAGTAAGAACTGATTCTTAGTTTTTTACTGGATCGTCAACTGGCGTATATTCATCCTAGCTTGCTTTGTATTAATCTCTGGAACATCTTGTATTACCTAACAGCATATTTTGCTAACTTGCACAAGGTTTATGATTCATAATGAGCATTTGGCCTGTGGAAACTTTCTGAGTAAATATGAGCTTACATACTTGCATTGGTTAACTGTAATTAATGGCTCAAGTTGATTGATTGACATGTCTCATGTCCAGATGGAGAACTCGGATACATGTACAGAACGTAGAAGTATCCGAGGACTTCTAAACTTCATTTCCTTTAAAATATTTGACATTGATTGTCAAGCCCTATTTACAGCCATTCCCGGTATAGTGCATTTTCTCACCGTTGGTTATTAAGACTTATTTCCGTTCTTTGTTTTCTACGTTGAGGGCTGATGTTGAAGCACAACGCCTAGACGATACATGATCTCTATGAAGCTCCTCTGACTTCTCATCAGGTAAGAACAATGGAAATCATCTCTGAATCTTGTGGCGCGCATTGAGTTTTTTGCCTGTATCAAAGAGCCTATTTTGAGTGTTGTAGAACATGTAGTTAGCTTGTCTCTCAGTGCAGACTGCAGAGAACTAAGGAGATGAAAATTGCATATACCTACAGACCATATTGAACTCATTTCCAGTATTTGAGAAGTCATGAAGTAGCCCCCAAGGTGTAGCTCGAGTGGCAAAAGGTGGAGGATTTGTGGCTTACGTCGTAGGTTCAAGCCTCACACCATGCAAAGCGAAACTCGGTATTTAAGTGGAGAAGGGTAGAGGGGCAGGCTCATTATCCACCGAGTTTAGAAGGCTGTGAATCCCGGTATTTAAGTGGAGAAGGGTAGAGAGGCGGGCTCATATCCACCGAGTTTAGAAGGCTGTGATTGGTCCAAAGGGCGGATCACAGACGGATTTCTCGGTTATAAAAAAAAAGTCATGAAGTAATGACCTACAAAAGGATTAATGATTAGTGTTTATTGGAATCTGACTAATTCAATTTTGCGTAATAAATTCAGTAGACTCAAGAATTTTTCTTCCAAATTATCCCTTGGTAGCAATTCAATAGACTCACAAAGACAATGTCATTACAACAAAAGAATTAGTAGTAATAAATTTGTATTTTAGCGACAATATTTATTATGGCGAAAACATTTAATGATAATTGGGTTAATATCATTTCATCCAAAGTTGCTAAAGTGTTTAATGACATTTATATAGAGGGTTGGTTATAAGTATTCATATTATATTATTGTAGCTAAATGTAATATAGAGGCAATTATATTATGTTGTTAAATAATTGTCACAAAATTCTTTATTTATTGAAGTGTGTCAAAGTTGCATTGATTCCACTCAGCACCATTAACCCCTTAATTACATAGTAGAACAAGATATAACGATATTTATAGTCGTATTTTGCATAGTTGAAACAAAAAAATAAAATGTTTAAATCGTTATATTTAGTAATTTTACATTTTTAATTTGAAAACAACATTTTCATTATCAAGTTAAGGTTTAAATTTTTAATTGATGTTAATGAATTTTCATAAATAATTAATCATAAAATCTGAATATTTTACTCTTTATTCATAAAATAAATATTTTCATAAAATATTTGCTAATTAAATATTTTAAATTTAATTTACTTAAAATGCTTGTTGAAAGTTTGACTTTCATTATGGTTATTCATTAAAATATCTACTATTAAGTTAACTTTTTTATTATATTTAATGTCATTCCAAATTATATGGATTAGCATTCCATAAAATCTGAATATTTTTCTCTTCTTTTCGTAAGTACATTTAAATATTCACTAATTCAAGTTAAGTTTTAGATTTGATTTACTTAAAAATGCTTGTTGAAAGTTTGACTTTCATTATGGTTATTCATTAAAATATTTACTATTAAGTTAATTTTTTTAATTATATTTAATGTCACTCCAAATTATATGGATTTTAATCCATGTGAAAATGGATATGTTTATGCTTAAACATTAAGTATGTTTTTAATTTTAATTTTTGTATATAAATACTCATGATATTTCATTGTTATGAATCTTTAGGGGAGGATCGATTCACAGGGTGATATATAAATCAGCTCGTTAAAGGGAGGCTGAAACCTTAGAATTCATTAAAGAGAGAATTTCGATCTCTTTTGCTCTTCAAATGGAGACTGAAACATTAGAGTTCAATGGAAGAGAAAACTCTAATAACTTGCTTTTTTGTTGAAATATGACTTAGTGATTTATTCATCAAAAGCCCTTTTAAATAGGAGTCTTATTACATCAGTAGGAAGTCTAATTCTTATGAAAGTAGAAAACTATAATCCTATTCCAAACTAATAACTATAGCTTAACCTAATCCTTATGAAACTATGAAACATAAATTATATTCTAAAATAATAAATAAAGCAACTAAATATAATTAAAAATTAAATACTTAATTGAAGGGCTTCCAACGCATCCACAACAGACAACTTATTCTTTTTCTTCGAAATAAACCAAACAGAAACATATAGCAAAGGCAGCACAAACATCTAGTAACCAAACCATTCTATAAATTTTGCAATCCAATCTCAAACCTGTCATCAAAATTAGGGGTATGCAAAAACCGATTTAACCAATAAACCGAATTGAAAAAAAACATTATTAGTTTAATGATATTGGGTTATTGGGCTAACAGTTTTTAAACGGTTTCGCAAAATTTTTTATTGGGTTATTGGTTCGATTTTCGGTTATATTATTTTTGTTAATGGTTAAACCAATAACCCAATAAGAATATTCTAATTTACTATTTTATCCCTAGACCAGTAAATCCTAATTATATAACATTTTACAAACCCTATTACTTTAATCTCAGTATTACTTAAAACCTTAATTATTGTTTCATTCTGTAATTGCAAGCACACTTCTAACTTGAATGTGCCAATTGCCTAAACTTGCAAGAAAAATAATAGTTACTTTTATGATTTTTACTTTCATGCCAAATGCTGGAAAAATCATATAGTTTATATGGGAAAAAAATTATAGTGTATATTAATATGTATGAGTTTTTTTTTTATTGGTTAAACCAAAAACCGAACCATTAAGTACCATAAACCGATAAGAAATATGTTATTGGTTTGGTTATCGGTTTGACGTATTTACAAACCAAAAAATCGATAAACTGAATCGATGCACAGCCCTAATCAAAATTCTAAATAAAACAAAGAGAAGACCACAAACACAGAGAGATCACTTCTGTTGAAGATCAAGATCATTTCTTTTCACCTGATAAAATCAAACATGACCAAACTATTCTATAAATTTTGCAATCCAATCTCGAATTCATCATCAAACACTAAACAAAACAAAGAGAAATCGTTTATGTTGAAGATCAAGATCATTATTTTTCACTGATAAAGTCAATTAACCAGTGTCATCACAAACATCTAATAACCAACCCATTCTATAATATTTTCAATCACAAATTCAAATCCATCATCAAAACACTAAATAAAACAAAGAGAAACCATTTCTTCTAAAGATCAAGATCATTCTTTTCACTGATAAAGGTGCAGCTTCGCAAACATCTAATAACCAGCTCATTCTATAAATTTCGCAATCCAATCTCAAACACTAAGTAAAACAAAGACTAACCACAAATCAGTTCTATCACTTTTTTTCACCTGATAAAAGTCAATTCACCAGAGGCAGCACATAAACATCTAGTAACCAAACTATTCAATTAGTTATGCAATCCAATCTCGAATCCATCATCAAAACACTAAACAAACAAAAAACCATAAACACAAAGAGAAATAATTTCTGTTGAAGATCAAGATCATTTTTTTTTACTGATAAATTCAATTAACCAGCAGCTTCGCAAACATCTTATAACCAACCCATTCTATAAACTTTGCAATCCAACCTCAAATCAAAACACTAAATAAAACAAAGAAAAACCACAAAAGATCTTCTTTTTCACTGATAAAGTCGATTAACCAGCCCATTCTACAAATTTCACAATCCAATCTCGAATCCACCATCAAAACATAGCAAAAACCACAAAACAAAGTGAAATCAATTCTATTGAAGATCAAGATCAAATTTTTTCACTAATAAACACTGCAGCTTCCCAAACATCTAATAAAACAACCAACACATTCTACAAATTTCATCAATCCAATCTCGAAACCCATCATCAAAACACTAAAAAAAAAAAACACAAACATAACGAAAAATAATTTCTATTGAAGATCAAGATCTTCTTTTTTTAACTAATAAACTGCAGCTTCCCAAACATCTAACAAAACCAACCAACCCATTCTACAAATTTCTCAAACCCATCTAACAAAATCAATTCTGGGTTGTAGCAGGGGAAGCACCAAGAAGACTAGCTTGTTGAAGATCAAGATCATTCAGCTGCTGTTCACGATCCATAACAATAATTAACGGCAAACCCAGAACCAAAAACGTTGTAGCAACAAGCCACGCAGCTTTTCCAGTACTCTTCGCAAGCTTTTTCCCCACATAAGTCGCACCACAAGCTGCTTGTTTCCCCTTTGTAACAATGGAGGATTGAGAAATCCTACCTAAAACGCCGTCGTTCTTGCTGCTGCTGCTTGATCCGGTTAAAGCAAAGCGTTTTCCACCCATGGGCGCCATTGTTGTTGAAGAAGAAGAAGCAGAGAAAAATTGTAGGGTTTTTGGCTTAAAGAGTATTTGGGGCTTAAACCCTTGTTATATTGTATTGTATAAAACTATTGCAAATTCAACAACGCATTTATAGAAGAAAAAAAAAGCACTTATAATAAATTCATAAATATCCCTAATAAATAATTACTAGTCTCAAAATAAATGTTTATTATGGAAGAAAAAAAAATCACTTATAACAATTTCTGTTTGACTAATTTATTTAAAAAGTATTTTTAATAAGCAAATTGTGTTTGACTAATCTTTTTTAAAAAATATTTTTGAGAGTTAAATTACGAAAAAGGGTAAATATCAATGTGCGTTTATAGAGAGAAACTATTTTAAATATCTATTACAAAAATTTAACTATAATATTTATTATTTTAAAATATTATGATTAATATGATTATTTAACTATAATTTACATATTAATTGATGTATATTTTTAAGCATTGAAAAATGATTTGGGGATTGAGTATTTAATA